TGTGTACAGCGCTTTGAGTGCTCAGAAAGAGTAGAAAAGCGCTATATAAGAACCAGTCCATTTACCATTTACAATGAAAATGACTAAACACAATTGTGCTTTGGCCACTGTGTATCACAGCACACTCTTCCCTAAAACAACAATCCAGTGACTTCTCTGTGTGAAGTTTTAATAAACTAAAAGCTATACACAGTGAGGCCTGTGGATTACTTTTTTTCCTGTTTCAGCTCCACATTACATGAAAACACAGATATCCAAATATGGATTAATAAACCCAAACTATCTCCATGACTACATATTGTGCCACTACATGTAACTGTAATATTTTTGTTATTTGGAACAGGGCAATGTGATGAAGCCTGGCAAAGGGTGCTTTTACCAATTTCTTTTGTTTTCGTTTTACTTTGGATGTATTTTTGTTTATACTGGCCAAATCCAAGTGCTGAAGTTAGACTAAAAGAATATTTTGGTTACAGACAGACTGTTTGGGGTGCTTCTTAAATATATCTCCTAATTGTCTCTGTACCTCACACGCAGTTGCAGTCATCTGTGCTGAACAGTTCGATGGTCCTAAGCGAAACACCTAATGTGGTTCTGGAGGGTCTGAGACCCGGGACGGGCTATGTGGTCCAGGTGAGGGCCCGCACTGTAGCGGGCTACGGAGCCTACAGCAAAGACATGCTCTTCCAAACCCTCACCGACGGTAAGTGTGTGGGTGGTTATCTGGAGTGTGTGGAGGTGTTTGTGTGGGTGTGGGTTTTCGTGGTGGAGAGGAAAGCGAGTGTAGGGCTGAGAGAGGGAATGTGAGAGGGTTGCGCAAGAGTGAAATTCTGGCTGTGAAGTGATTAAATTCTCCCTCACTTTCTGTGTGTGTGTGTGTCTGTGTGTGTGTGTTTGTGAAGAGTGCTTGCAGTCATGTAAAATGAGCCTTGTAAATTATATTTTCTGTATATTAGAGAGAGAAAAAAGTGTCAGTTATATATTTTCCCTTCCAGAAATGCTCAGCTGTGTGTATGCAAGACTGAAACATATGAGGAGTATGAAATATAATATTTTTTCCTTAATTTGTTTGTGTGTGTGTTCTGCAGATGAATATAAGTCAGAGCTCGGACAGCAGCTCTCTCTGATTGCTGGCTCTCTAGTTGGTGGAGTGTGTATTGTATCACTAGTAGCTATCGCCATCATCTGTACCAGGTAATGCACAGCTGACACACCTGCTCACTTCACACGAAAGTGCACTTAAGTGTCTGTCACTGCAAAATCCAAAGAGGTAGAGATGCTAGACACGTGTCCTATTAAATAACATACTTTTCACTTGTCAGACTATGAACATGAACTGATAGTTAAAACAACAGTTCCCCTCTTTTTTGAGCTTTGAATGAAATGCAAAGGTGTTTGTAATTATGTGGACAAAGCGGCATTTCAGTAGCACAGTTGCAGCTTCCACACATCACGTCTTTAGATCACATTATTTAATGACCGCTGAGGAAATCGATTAGCTGAGAGAGACTGGTAGATGCTCTTTTAAAAGCTGTAAGTGGACTCTGAACAACATATTTTTTTCCAGGATAAATGTTCAGGGCCGATTGGCCATGGAGCATACCACATGAATAAAAATGCCCTTAGCAACAGAATCCCTCACCCATTTTACTAATCCCCTGCTCTCTTTCCTGACATTTGCCATCTGTTTCAAATATAATTATCCAGTAAAACAAATCTGACACCCACAAATATCAATCAAATAAATGTATTTTAACAAAACTCCTTTAAATGAATAAAAGAGCTGCTGCACATGCATTCTTCTATTTCAGCTAAAATGGTGAAAAAAAGAAAAAAATGGAAGTTTATCAACCATATGAGCAGCACCTAGCTCACCGTGCAAGCTATCGCTACTTAAGCGTAAACCAGATAATGGAAGCCTCTGGGAGTGTGTTGTGTGGAGCGTAGCCACAGCTGATGTACCTCCTTTAACTGATGAACATTTTTATATGTTGTTGATGTGACAAAAAATAAATGACAAGTGAAAGTTCTGCATGAATAATTGTACTAAAATGTCCATCCGTCAGTCCATACAAAACACCATCCATCCTTCTATTCGTCATCTTCCACTTATACACAGTCAGGTCACAATGGCACTAAGCCAAGTAGGGTCTTTTCCCCAGCAACACTTTCCAGTTGATCCTGGAGGATCTGAAGTGTTCCCAGTTGCTCCCAATCTCTCGAGTGAGCCCTGAGTCTATTCTAGGATCACCTCATGTTTGGATATACCCAACGACCTCCAATGGAAGGCTCCCTTGAGACCGGGAGGCGCAGGAGATCCCTTTGGATGTCTGAGCTGTTCTCCTTATCTCCAAAGCTGAGCCCATTCCCTCTACAGAGGAAACTGATTTCATTGGTCTTAGTCGTTTGGTCATTACTAGATCTCATGATCACTATTTGCACTATTTGTTGCAGTCTTATGAAAGTTGGACTGTTGGTGGAGTGGTAATCTCATTACCATGACAGTCTGGTACAGCACCAACATCACTGCTGATCTTCTGCCAATCTGTTGGTTCAAGTCACACTGCACTTCCTGTTACTTGGGAATAAGAGGCCATCATATTTGATACTAGCTTCTAAACCCCAACCAGGAGGCAGCATTTCATCATTTTTCCAGTTGGAGACGAGAGGAACTCTGGCAGTCCACCACCTCCTGCTTGACCACTAAAATGAAGTTAAAGCAATGTTGCAAAAGTACCGCTTTGGCACTTCTAGGTGTCGTATTATTAAATTACAGGCATCAGTGCATGAGCAGCTGAATTACTTTATATATAGGGGTAATAAAGGGGTTGAGGACATGATTGGTGGTAGAGAAGAAGAAGAAAAAGATGTGATAGACTAATCTGTTGTTTGTTTTTCATCTTTGATGGGGTTTTTTTGGTGTCATATCATTTGAATTTCGATTGATATTAAACCATGTGAGAAATTTGGAACCAAAAAAATCCCTATTTGTTGCAGCTGTTAAAAAACAAAACGTTTGACTGATTACATTCTGCTTTTTGTAATTCAGCGAGCTTGAAGGTTAGGAACCACTGGTGTCGGCTTTAATAATGTGCTCTATTTTAAAACATTATCAACTGTGTAAAATGTTCATCTTAAACTATTTTCTGGAGCTGTTAAATAAATGTCTTAGGAAGTAAAATAATACTTTTAAAACAAAGTACAGTTGAAGTTACATTAAATGGTACCTTACTATATATACACTATATTGCCAAAAGTATTTGCTCGTCTGCCTTCACACTTATATGAACTTGAGTGACATCCCATTCTTAATCCATAGGGTTTGCAGCTATAACAGCTTCAACTCTTCTGGGAAGGCTTTCCACAAGGTTTAGGAGTGTTTATGGGAATTTTTGACCATTCTTCCAGAAGTGCATTTGTGCTCTAATTGGTCCCAGAAGTGTACGGTCAGGTTGAGGTCAGGACTCTGTGCAAGCCAGTCAAGTTCTCCCACACCAAACGCACTCATCCATGCGTTTATGGACCTTACTTTGTGCACTGATGCACATTTATGTTAGATCAGGAAAGGTCCCCAAACTGTTCCCATACAGTTGGGAGCATGAAATGAAAGAATTACAAGTTCCTCTCACTGGAAACTATGAGGGACAGTCCCAACAAGTACCGTTCTCCTGGCAACCACCAAACCCACAGTCATCCAGATGGAGAAGTGTGATTCGTTGCTCCAGACAACACTTCTGCACTGCTGTAGTCTGTGGCGTGCTTTATACCACTTTATTCATCACTTTGCATGGCACTTGGTGACATAAGGCTGTTGTTCGACCATTGTTCACTGTTCCTGAAGGCCACATGAATTTTGGAGGTCTGTAGAGATTGACTTTGTAGAAAGTTGGTGACCTCTGCGCACGATGCACCTCAGCTCTGTGATTTTACATAGCCTACCACTACATGGCCAAGTTGCTGTTGTTCCCAATCATTTCATCTTTGTTATAATATCACTAACAGTTGATTGTGGAATATTTAGTAGTGAGAAAATTTCACAGCTGGACTTGTTCCACTATCACAGTAACATTCTGGAATTTACCGAGGTCTTGAGAGCGACCCATTCTTTTACAAATGTTTGTGGAAGCAGTCTGCATGCCTAGCTGCTTCATTTTATACACCTGTGGTCATGGAAGTGATTGCAACACCTGAATTCAATGATTTGGATGGCTGCGTTTTGACTTTTGCCAATATAGTGTAGTTTCCACCACTGACAGCTGCAACTCTCTCACCTTAAATGTAGAATCGGTATGTTTACCAGTATGTCTGCTTGCAGTCGCGTGTGTGCATTTAAGTCAAATCCTCTCTGTACACTGTAGTCTTTAACCTTTCGCTGATCAACTGATTCAAGCTCAAACTACACTTGCTGCTGCTATTGCTATTATTGTTAGCTATTTCCAATACTTTTTTATCTGCGTATGGTACTACAAAAACCGAGTGTGGCATTTTCCGAATAATGGTCATTCATGGCCACAGCCACTGACAGCAAGGAGACCTACAAGTTAATCTAACTTTAGATTTTACATGCATTGGACTATAAAATATTTGTTTTCTTATCCTGTTACGGGGTCACAGATGAACTGGAGCCTGTCCTAGCTGACATTAAGGGAGAGGTGGGCTATGTGAAGTAGAAATATCAAAATTAGAGTGCAAGACCACGAACAAAAGATTCTTATGAAATAACATTGATTGTGTACGCGAAGGGAGCATTTCTAAATGTACTTCACTTATATTTTTTTAAAAAAAGATTTGAAATGACTCCTAGTAGAAATAAAGTTGTAGACCAAAAAATCACGCACAAGTGATGCAAAAAAAAGTATTAAATTATAATATTTAATACGACAAGAGTTTTAAACTAGCTGTGAAATGAGAAATGTCCAAAGTCTCAGTGACCCCATGAACTCCCAGAAATAGCGAGCGGCAAGCTGTCTCTCCTGCGCTCAGTATTAGGTGTCTTCTGTGGAGATCAGTCCACATATTAAAATATTACCGCGTGCATTCCTTTAGTTTCAGCCTCGGAGAGAAGCGGGAAACAAGAGCTGATGACAAAGAGCACGAGCAAGTCACCCAATACTAATGATTTCCTGACAGACTCTCTTAAGCACACTTCTGGAAAACAATTTATTTCACCTCAAAAGAGAAACAGCGAGAGGACAACCAATTAGCATGATCTTTCTGCAACATTTCTATCTTTGAGTTGTGTTATTTTTTTTTTACCTACTCGCCACTTTTTCTTCCCCGTAAATCTCTGTGTCCGTGTTTCTGTCTGCAGGAGAAGGCAGCTGAAGGAGAGCGTATATGGTGACAAGCTGCAGCAGTACAACACAGGAGGAGGTACGACCCCCTCCTAACACTGCGCTCTTTATTTCTTTATCGCGATACATAAAATATGATGTGTTAAAACAGTGTGTGTATTCGAGCTTTCTGACTTTCTCCTCAGAGGTGACTCTGAGGCCAGACATGTTCAGTGGACCCACACCCACTGTGACCTTTCCCAGCCTGTCTGAGGGTCACAGTTCACCAGGGGTCAAGATCTACATTGACCCTTTCACCTACGAGGACCCCAATGAGGCTGTGCGGGAGTTTGCCAAGGAAATCGATCCCTCCTGTGTCAAAATAGAGGAAGTCATCGGATCAGGTAGATATTTTAAGTGCCTTCATGTGTTTGGTGACCCTTTCGCTTTCGTCATGTTGTTTCTATAAGCTGCTGAAAGAAAATCTCAGCAAGGGAAAGTCTGTATTTATTTTCAGATGTGTTGAATAACCACTGCATTCATTCAATTCAAGCAAAATCAGTTGAAGGTTGAGATGAAAAAATAACCACAATCACAGCACTGCTATCCTCTACAAAGTGCCTCAAAACACAAGCTAGAAAAGCAAACCTTGGTTTATTTAATGAAACCAACCGCCATGTGAAGGAGCAGATCCTCTACAGCAAATTAATCAAATTCCTCAACTGTGCCAGGGTTTAGTGTGAATGAGGAAGATCTGGAATCACACAATGCCAGTTTATTATTTTGCTTTATTTTTCCTTTGAAGTCAGGAGAGATGTTTTATTCATGTTGAAAACTTTCACAGGAATAAATTAAAACGGTCTTCATGCATTCTCTTTGGCTATCTGCACTCTCACTGTAAAAATGCTCTATGATGTTTGGCAAACAGAGAACGCTGAGAGTCCCAGGGCTGCTGGGGGGGGGGTTGGCTATTGGATGAGAAAAGGAGAAAGTAAAAGAGGAAGGAAAGAAAAACAAGGAACACCTTTAAAGTATAAAGCTGAGTGTGAGTTATCATCCACTTCAGTTATCAGTCGTTGGGCTTCAGTATCGTGCAAAGGTCTTAAGCCACCCCTCATTTCACTGGAAAATAAATGCGGCAGTTTTATTGAAGTGTG